TATGTTCAAAAAAGTGTATAAAAAAAAAGAGGTTAAATTTCAAAATGGAAATGAAAAATTAAAAAAAAAAAAAAAAAAAAAAAAAAAAAAAAAAACAGTTAAAGAGCCTGAAAATAAACCACTGATCAAGAGCATGAAACCCAATTCTGAAGCCCCCAATTGCATAATGCGACATTTATTTTTAGCGATTGTACATATACACCATATTTTCATTGTTTTCCTCAAAACAGCCACATCTGGATGCTGTTAACCTGATTAATATGCCAAGAGTTACACCCCATTCTCTTTAAATCCTTTATTCAAACCACTTAATGCAACTTGATCCAACTACATGTCAATGTTTATGTTTAGAGGTCGTCTGTCTCCAGATTTAGATGCGTATCTAAATCATGGCCAGCTCCTTCAGGCCTTTTTTTGTTTGTGAATCAGAGGTATCCACTGAACCCAGTCTGTTGAAGTTGCCCAAGCAGTGTCGACTCTTGAGTCTACTCCCATGTATGTGACTTCAGAACAGGTCTGTCTGGAAAAGGGACAATGAATATGTAACCGACCACAGCCGAGCCACGCTTTACGACATGATCTGAAGACTGGAGGCTGGTTCCAGATTGGGTAGACGAGTTTAGCCCATTAGAGGGGACTAACTGGGCAATTAGAGTCACAGGCCAATTTGGCCGAACAATAGGTCCACACATTTAACAAGCTCCCCCTGCCAGGAGCTCCACAGGGGTCTGTTGTCGGGCCTAATGGCCGTTGCGTAGACAGTGTGTCTGTCTTGGTAACGGGCTGCTTGCCCCAAACTGAGTGAATGAGAAGGTTAAGCAGGAGTCAACCAAGTGGTTCAACACCCAACTAATTTTTCCAACCCACAAATGTTCATCTAAAGTTTTCAGAAGTTTGGAATCAAACTCGAAACCTAAAACATATGCTCATCAAATCAGTCTTGAATTTATTTTTGCTTTGTGACCGACATCATTGCATCTTGAGGAACATGATTTGGATGGAAAAATGATGGAGTCCGTTCAGTCGTTAATGCCTGGGTACATTTTAATACGCAACAAAGTGCGATCCCATAGCACTTCATCAGAAAGAGTTTCAGAAATTTTCAGTATTGGGTAGGTCTTCTGTAATGACCTAAGGGCAGCCTTCGCTCGGCATCAGAAAGGTTTAGCTGACCTTTTTCTTTTGTCTGCCAAATGTACATTAAAATGTAAATGTAACACTTATAAGTTAATGACCAAATAAGTCTGTTGATAAACAGAATATTTTCAGATTTGCCACTGTTTTGCATCTATCCCCTTTTTTGCTAAACTTAAAATGTGTTTAATCTGAAACTTTTTATGTATAAAGAAAACATGAATAGTAATTTTTAAGTGATTTCCTTTGGAAAAGGAACAAAAAAGCCATATAAACCTGGCCAAATTGTCCTAATAACTAGCAGCAGGTGTTCACGCTAGCTGGCAATGAGAAATTCACATCACCACTCGGGAATTTTGGCCCACTCTGTTCAGCAACACTAGAGGGTTTTTGAGCATTTGCACGTTTAAAATAATCCAAATTGCATTTAAGTCCAGGTTTCAGTGAGGCCACCTCCAAAACTACTTCTTTATTTCCTTCTGCTTTTTTTCCCTTTTGCATTAGTCCTCAAGAGGCGGCCATGCGACTGTAATTTTATCATCAGTTTGGTGCTGAACCAAAATGTGATTGGGCTAAAAGGCCAGTACTGACAGTGAGACATTATGCACCATTTCCTGGTAGAGCAAAATTCATGATACTATCGATTAAGGTCAAAAAGTTCCACATTCGTCTCGTCAGTCCCCAGAATATTACCACTGAAGTTTTGGGGATCACCGAGATATTTTTTGGCGAATGTGATGAACTGATTTTTTTTCCCCCACAGCTCATCTTTATCCAACATTAAATTCTATTGGTGGCAAGAAATACTGAAGTGTGACAAAAAAGCAAAAAACAAAAAATATCTGTAAGGAGGCAAATGCATATTCACACAGCTAAATATTTCAACATTTCTTTCAAAAACTATTAGTCGCCCTTACGTTAATGTCTCACGTCAGCTGACTATCACAATGCAATGTTATGCAGCTGCTTTCTGGCCATGTGTTGGAGCAAAATGAGTCCTTGCAGCACATCAAAGCCTAAGGTGTGTTTAGGAAGACGGGGAGGAGAACTGGGTGTCAGCTCTGCAAACTCAGATAAAAGTTGTCTCCCATTGTACACAGGAGACTCATACACTGAACTCCCATTTGTCCCTCACCACCCCCTCCTTTCATCACCCTGCTGGGCTCCAGCAGGACTGACAGTCCCTGCACAGACTGTCAATAGCACTCAATTGTCACATCCAGTCTCCAAGCCTTATGGGCAGAGACAGTCTGGCTGATCTGAGCAGACTCTTTGCTCCCCCAAGCTCAGAATCTGCAGACAAATCCAAAAACTATGGCACATCAGATTAAACTGTCCTGCTTCCGTCTTCATTTACTGCAATATAAAAATAAAATGTCACATCAAGCACAAAAATAACTGGAGTACAGACATAATCTTAAATTTTTTAATTGCAGGGATCTTTCTCTTACAAAATCTAAATGTTTTCCCTTAATCAGTTATGAGGTAATCCCAAGTTTAAGAACAGTCAACACAGAAAAAGCCAAAAGTATATAAAGGAAATAGAAAAAAAAAATGTAGCAGAATCAGTGACACCATGTCCTTTTTACGCTCTTCACTGGTTCTCTGAAATGCTGTGGGAGTTAAAAGAGACAAAGATGATTAACTTACAGGAGAACGACAGAGATAAAACTTAATTTAGCACGAAATGATCTGAAATCGGAAATGTGAAACAAAACTATGCAATAAGTTTCCTTTTATAAAAATACATCTTCACAAAGTTAATGATGATGTCAGTTTACACACATCTGGGAAGTCCGTAGGGCCTGCGGAGGGTCGCAGCCCAGATACGCCCCATTGCTGAAACAGTACTGCAGCAGAGCCCTGAAGCAGGGATCCTACAGGGAAACCAAAACATTTGGAGTGTATTTTACTGGTGAACACACTGCAGTAGATGGTAGTGAGAGTAAAAACAAATACAAGCGACAAAAAAGAATCATCACAGATTTACAGAGGTTTTTCTCCCCACTCACCCTGATGAGAGTGTGGGGGTCTCCAACAATTATGAGCAGAGCTTTGGGTCGGGTGATGGCCACGTTGAAGCGTTTCGGATTGGCCAGAAAACCAAGCGAACTCTGCAAATCCTCGCTTTCCACTGATTCACTAGAGCGCACCTGGATAATTAGATGATCAAAAATCAATCAACTGCAATGTGGTCTTTTTGTACAATCAGAAGTACCTTTGAAAAACAATGACATGATGGCAGTAAACCATAGCAATGCCGTTGATTAGAAATACTGAAGTTACACAACTGGAAGTTACACAACTTAAATATTTAAGAATATTTAAGTTATTCTTAAATATAGCACCTGAGTGCAAATCTACTAAATATTGACCTCTTTATCCAGGTCACTTATGAAAATTAGCATTCAGTTAAACTGCTTTGAGTTTAAGGTTGCTTTAACGTGGCAGAAATCTGTGCGATGGGTGAACACCAACTCATCACTAGCTGGAAAACTAAGCACTGTTTCTTCAAGGCAAGACGCAAATAAGACATTTAACATAAAACAATAAATCTACAAAGAAAAGACATGCTTTAGCCTTAATTATTTGAACATTTTTCAAGGCAAGCAAAAGGACATTACAAAAGTTCTCCAAACAGTGAAACTGTTTCCTTATCCCTTCAAAATTCTTGGTAAATCTAACTAAATTTAGGTTGCAATTAAATTTACTTGTGGCTTATTTTGACCTACCGTCGACAAGATGATGACCAGAAACTCTTGTCCCTGGAACTCCTCCACTGAGCCCACTTTGATGTCAGACAAGCCCACCTTACCCAGCAGCACTCGAATCTTCTCACACTGGACAGCAATATGAAAGCTCACCTTAACATCTACAGTATGTCGACCTGCGAGACTGATTTCAAACAAGTCTCTTAATAACCTCAGAGGAAGAGTGAAACGTACTTGCTTCCTGTAGGGGGCGATGATGCCGATGTCAGAGGGGTGCACGGGGTTGTAGAGCTTCTTTGCCAGCTGGCAGCAGTAGAGCATCACCTGCACAGCCTCTACTGGGTTGAACCATGACGGGTTGTTTCCTTCCCTCATTTCTGTGCCCTGGGACACAGAAAACCCAAAAACATGGGAACTTTCCATCCCTTCAACCTACTGCTGAAAGTGAGTAAATAAACAGGCTGCAGATGCACTAATGCTGTTTTTTTTTTTTAAAGAGGAAACATTGTGATTTTATTTCTGCGTTATTACCCTAACACCGTGGAAAAAGAGGGGGAAGTCTTTTTTGGGCAGGTTTTTCCACTGGCAGAGGGAGTCCACGATCTCCCTCTGAGCCTTGAAGCATAGCTCCCCCAGGTAGAAGAGCTTGGAGGGCAGCATCAGCAGCGCCTCATGGGAACGGTAGTTGTAGATTAACTTGGTCACCTGTTAGAGAAAAGCATGCTTGTACAAACAAAGGGGCATTCAAACAATTATTTATGTAAAGAAAAAAGAAATATAAATTGTTCTTATGTGGAAAATTTGTGACATTGTTCCTGTTTACATTTTTGTTTCTGGACAAACATTTCAAATAGATTTTTGGACATTACTGTGATGCAGGTTGGCAGAAGAAGAAAAAAATCACCCTAAAGTGTTTATGACATCATAAATGTTTCCCAATCAGAGAACTAACCAGTTTAGGATTATATCCCCAGTCCTGTTTGGTGTATAGTGGGTTGGTCATCAGCCTCTCCAGTAAAGACATGCCCAACCCAAAGGCATTGGCAAGGTTGGACTTCACTATGGGACCCAGTTGGCAGGGGTCTCCAGCCAGCACTATCTGAGGAGGAAAACGGGAAGCATCATTATTCAACAACAAAGCTAAGTTCATTTCCTCTTTTACAATAAATATATAGCGGTTACTCCAATCCAATACGTTACCATTTTTAAACAATTTGAGAACATCTTTGGTTTGGTTATTTCACATGAATCACATTGGATTAAACGAATAAGCACTTTAGGATGCATTTTCAGACAACACCTTAAACGCATCACTGCTTCCTTGGTGCCAAATGTGCTCAAACCTTAAAAAAAAAAAAAAAAAAAAATGACTGAAAGTAGTAAAATGTTACTGTTCACAGTAAAACCAGTCCTGTATTGGCCACTCAGTGAGGAAAAAGCCACCAATTCAAAACTATGCAAAAGAAAAGGACCAATAATCAGTTGGAAATGCAATGATGGACAAACATGACTTACAAAAATTAAGTGTTTGGCCATACAGGGTTTCTGCAGGTTTCACCAACTCAATTTAAGACTTTTTAAGACCACTATGAAAGGAATTTAAGGCCTTTATCTCCACAGAATGTGTGGATATATTTGAACCATGACAGGTGCAAAAAAAGGTAGCTAGCTTGCTAGCTAGCAAGGATATGTTAGCAGTGAGTTACCAGTAGACTCAACCGTCTAGAGTCAGAATAAAGACGTCGGAGTTCAGTGCGACTCCAACTTTTGCCAGACAGAAAACTACAGAGGGGAAAAAAAATACACAGAATATGAGATTAAATGGTTCCGTCAAGACTAAATTTAATATCTGTGATTAACACAGTAAAGGCCAACCTACTTTTCAAAATTAAAGACATTTCACAGCCTTAATTTTTGATACAAGAACTTAAGACTTCTTAAGGCTGTGCAGACACGCTGTTATATTTAGAGAAAAAGGTAAAAATTTGCCAATTTAAAACACCGTTATGGTGTTTTGGTGTAAGAGGGACTGGTGCGCTTCATAAAATAGATGGCATCATAAGGAGAGAGCTTGATGTGTGTAAGGCAAGGCAGCCTACAAACCTGGCTCAGCTACATCTAAATAACTGGTTAATCTGAAGCCTTCATGCGTTTCATCCTGGGAAAACCCCCCCAGTTCAAATGCATCACAATGAGGTCAAGATTAATACGACGTTTATGCTGGTGAGAGCATTTCCGACCGGTGTGGAAAGTAAGCTCATTTGCTCTAACCTGTCCATCTCTCTCTGAGACGAAGCTGATGGGGATCAGAGACTCGGGCTCAGTGGCTTGGCCAGCTTCATCCAGAAACACATGAGTAAAATGTCCCTCTCTGAAAAACAAAGAAATTAATATTCAACTAAGACAGTACATAACGTGTATATTTTTTCACTTTAATATCTAAAACATTGATCTTACTGTATTCCAATATTATGGAACATGCCAGCACTGGAGCAGGTGCTGACGACAATCCTATGGAAAGCAGCGTGACGGATGTCTTCTCCAGCCCGGGAGTACGGCTGCAGCACTTCGGGAAGAGACTAAAAAAAAGAGTTAACTGGTAAAATAATCCGCCATCTAAGCAACACTGTAGATATACAGGGTGAATATAGCAACTTGCAAAAGCTACACACATCCCTTGAACTTTTTCCACATGTTGTGAATTTAAATGTTTTCGTAAAGAAAAATCCAAAAGGTATGTTATGGATTTATATTCAGCCTCCCAGTGTAGGATCACTTCATACAGCCACGTAAAGAGATCAGATTTTACCAGCATCTTTAGATCAGGTTTGCAGCGTTATACACCAAAGTATCTGCTCAATCCTGTTTGCGAATCAGATCAAGCATCAACTTCCAAAGTCCTGCCACAGTTTCTCAACTGGATTTAGAATGGGACATTGAAAAATTATAGCACATAAATACACTATGATCTCAACCATAATACTGAATGTTTGGCTGTATGCTTAGGGTTATGACCAGTTTGAAAGTGAAACTCTGGACTGGTCAAGTCCCTTGCACCATTTAGGTAATTTCTAAAGGCAGTTTAGTGTCGCTTGATTTCATTTACAGGAATCGGAGAAGAAGGGGTTGAATACAAATTTGTAAATAAAACAAAAAATACCATCTTTAAATTCTGTCCCGTAAGCTTTACAAATCTTTTTGTGTACGCCTACTACATAAAATACCCAAAATACTTTGCGGTTTGTAGTTGGACGGGGCCGTCCTCATAAATTATGAAAGCGGTTGATGAGGAGACCATTTAAGCTGCTGTGCAGTACCTCAGTCTCCCTAGAGGAGGCGTTAACACGGGCCAGGCTAGCGGCATGCAGAAAGCCGCTGTGATGCAGACGCACGCAGATGAGGTCAGCGGCGCTGTTGGACGGCGTGCAGACAAGCACCCGACTGCTGGGCAGGAAGTGGTAGACCTGGAGGTCGAGAGGCTTCATGGGATTATCCAGGTAAAGGAAAATAATTTGTAGATGATAACACGCACAAGAGTTGAAGAATCTAGATGGATAATTAGTGAATGCACCTGCAGTATGATTTCAATAAGAGTGATGGTCTTCCCGGTTCCTGGAGGTCCAAACAGCACGTAAGGAAGAGGGCGACATTCTGCCTCCAGGACCCTCTTCACTGCCTCCTTCTGACAGGGGTTAAGGTCTGGGTTAAAAAACTGCCCTTTGCTGGGCATTGGTTTGGAGGTTTGTTTTCCTTTGAGAAGAAATACAATTGTTATGTTAACTTTTGATACAAAAAAACAAGCAGATCCTGTATAGATCTAAAAATCGGACACCTTTGCCTTTAGTCTGTTTGGCCTTTGACTTTATATCGACACACGGTTTCGACGCGTCTCCATTTTCCACTGGTGGATTCTGGTGATTATATGGGATTCTGAAGTTATTCTCTTTTTAGACTTGTTTTCATTTGAAGACTGTTAGTTACGGCCTACCTCGTCCATCCATTCTCCAGTCCACAGGTGGGTTTGAGGCGACACTCTGGAGGGGAAGAGAACTAAACAACAAGAAATTAACAGCTAAAACCTTACTTTTTCTGTAAAAGTGATTCAAAACGCCAGTGAAAGAAAGAGAGGGAAGACTGATGCAATCATTTGAAGGCTAATGCTTTTTCTTTCCTTGTTTGTGCACCTTAGAAGAGGTTAAATGATACAACTAGCACCCCCCGGTGGGTAATGTAGTGATGTGCCACTACAATGTGCCCTCCCACAAAAAAGAATCTAGACTGTTACACATATGAAGATTTTTGGCGATTTGGTAAAAAAAAAAAGAAAAATGAAAAACAAAATCTATTGTCTACGTCTGCTAATCCTTACAGTGTTTGGGGACGGAGGGGAAATGACATTTGGATTCTCAAAGAAAAGAGATGATCTTTCAGAAATATTTCAAATAAAAGTTTCAGACTCAGAGTAAGAAAACCGACGCCAAAAAATATTAAAAAGACCTTTTTGAAACACAAAGGGAGTCATCATTGCTACATGTTTGATATTTTATACGACGCCAAAACATGAAACTGATTAAGCAACGGAAATTTTCTGTAAAGAACAGTTTGCAATTATTCAAACATGTATAAAAAATAAAGTTAAGCATTTTTTCCCAGACAATAAGTGCTGTGAATTTAATATTTTACAGAGTGGTCACAATTGACCAGGAAAAAGTTGCAAAAAAAGTAAATGATTAAATGTTTATAAAACTGCAAATAAGCTTCAAAATTGACCACAGACTTAATGATCTCATATATATTCACTTTGCCACCATTAATGGGGTTCTGTCTAGAACAATGAAAAAAAAAAAAAAAAAAAACACTACTTACTCTCCCCAAAATGCTTCGTCAGCTCAAGAGCATTGTGACATCGCCTTATGGTTAACCTAAAAAGAAAAAAAAAATTAAATTAAAATCACAGACACCAGAAACATTCCAAACAATCCCTCATCTATTCCTTCTCCTTACCTGTTGTAGGTGAACTCGACGTCAAGAGGCTCGCCGAGGTAGCTGTGGTGAAAGTTTGAATTCACTCTCAAACTCACGTTCTCGTCATTGATCTGAACAGGACCATCAAGGCATTAGATTAGAACAGAAAGTGTGTGCAGAGATGCTCCAGAGTCAAACAAACGGGTTACCTCGGTGACGTAGCTGATGTACTCCATCTCCAAACCGTCGCTCTGTAGCTTCTTCAGTAAAACTCTGTCTCCTGTGGAGAAAACTCGTCAACAGAAACCTACACGACATTTAACGGCCATGCTGAAGGTCGCATCACCTATGTTAAGATTAGGTCTGCCTTCAGCCAGGCCAAGCACCTCGAGGTGCAGGTAGACGCCTCCTTTGCGCAGGAGCGCTCCACTGATGGAGAACTCCCTTAATTCCTTTTCTGCGTTCAGCTCTTCGAGCCACAGGAGGGTCGAGAATCTTGAAAACATGTTGGACGGTGAGAGAGCCTGAATGTAGGAGGACAGAGCGACACTTTACTTGATCTGCAATCTACTTTTTCTCTTCGCATGTTTCTTGTGCGATCATAAAATCTCACTAATATAGGTTTGAATCAAACACCAAACCATCTACAAAAAAAAAAAAAGTTTTGAGAGACATCGTGTTCTCTAGCGTTAATAGCCATTTTGCAAAAGCATGGACTCAAAAGCCAAAACCGTTTGGCGAGCTTGAAGCTCTGCTGTAATTTATGACTCGGAAAGTAGAGGCTGGCTCAGAAATGATCTGGACTGGAGATGCATAGCTACGGATTTGTTTCAATTAATGAAAAGTGAATGTTTCAGTAATTCGGTTCAAAAAGTGAAACATGTTTCGCACTTTTATTTCTAGTTATATTCCATATTCAAAAATACTTCATTGATTCCAAAGGAAAGTTACACGTTAAAATTAAGTACTAAAAATATTTTAATTCACTTTCCCAGGATAGTACATAAAATACAACACTTCTCGTTACAGAAGTGTCATGATTTGTCCTGAAAAACTATGGGGAGGAGTTCGACTGGACTCTCTTCAAAAACATGTGCCGTGTCGACAGTTTATTGAATGACTCTTTTTGAGTTACATTACAAGATGTTTGTGGACAATAACATTTAATTTAAAGCAAAAACTGTTGATTACTAAAGAAATATGTTGTGCTCTGACCAATATTTTCTATTTGAAAGTTTTTTTGTAAAAAAAAAAAACAAAAAACAAAAAAAACCCCGAGTCCATATCAACTGCTGAAGATGTCTAGCCAAATTTATTTTTATTACTCTCACACTGCAGTCAAAGGGTGAATAGTTAATCTTTATGCATCAAACCTAATGATGGCTATGCTCACCTCTCCTAAGCATGGCTGAACAGCCAGCACATCCTTCCCCGACTCCACACAGTCTCTCAGAGCCTTCGGCACCGGAAAGCTTGGCAGGAAGTTTGGCAACCGTCGCTTACTGAGCCTGGAGGTGGGAAAGTCGAACAAGAATCAACATGGATAATCTTGATCTAAACAGCTTAATCTCTCAGTGGATGGAAAACAACACCAGCCGATGAGGTTGGCCATACTAGGATTAAATATGGATGCCAGAAACAGCAGCAGAAAAAAAAGAGCTAAAAAACATTTTATATTTTTACCCAATTAGTTTATCCAGCATTTTGAAAATAAACCTAGGTCTAATTATTAACTAATAACTCCTTGAAAAATTGCAAACTGCATAGGAGCAGGTATAACTTCACATCTGCATCAGTTGAGCAAAAACAAAGAAAAAAAGAACATGCATTATTATACATTATTATACATCTTTATACATCTTTCTTTGAATATTTTCTAGCATTTAAATAAATATAACAATCTTGAAACTTGCATTAATTTCCCAAACCCTTATTACTTATTGATTAGTAACAGGTTTAATGAGCTCTTTATTTACCTCGGCAAAACTTTTGGAGCTGAGACGGTGACAACGTGGGAGGGGGCTTTTGAGAGCACCTTGGCATTACTGGGACAATAAACCTCAGAGGGCTTCAGCAGGTTTTCATCCTCACTACCCACTGTGACCAGAAGACGCCTCCCAATGGTGAAAGAAGAGAAGTGCAGCAACAGTAGCTCAGTGCAGCATCCAAGGCTCCTGGAGGAATCCCAACATGCACAAAAATATAGAATGTGCCAAAAACAAGTATTCATGCAAAATGCTTTTTTTTCCCCTCTAAATTTTGATGCAATAAAAATTTGTTCCATATGAATGAGCAAAAGAAATCATGGCAGAAATAAAGCTACAACACATTTTATTGGAAAAAAAAAATGGTTGCCCATCCTTGCATTAGGCATACAGCCAGACGAACAATGAGTAGCACAGGTGCACCGACTGCAGTTTTCTGGTCGATCACCAATCTTTAAACAGCCTAACCAGCCGATTCCGATTTTAGCTGATAATCTCTTTTTTTTTTTATCTGAAATGTCACTTACAGAGTTAGATAAGATCAGGGGATTGGGCGATCACCGATCTCCTAAAATTAAGTAAATCAGCACCAATAAATTGGTGCACCCCTAATGGATAGGTTACTCCACAGCATATTCATGTGTTAAATTGGCCTAAATTCAATTGAAAATCGAAGCCAAGGCTATTATTTTTCATGGAACCTATTCATTCAACGTCACCTTGTCAGATTGTTTATCTGACAAATAAAAAAAAGGCAAAAACATTTCAGCCTATAAGAGCTCAAATCTGGGAGACGCATCACAAAATCTGTAACTGCAGAGACAATGTGGCTCTAGAAAGTATGCCACACCACAGCTGGACACAAACGCATGTCACACTTTCCTGATCCTTATTTGCATAAAAATAATTAAAAACCATGTATCCCCCCTCCATCCATGTTACAGCTATGCACTAATTACAATCACACAAAATCCCACACAACAATTTGTGGCTGTAACCCAGGAGTGAAATTTTAAAGGAATATGAATCATTTTGTAAGACATGATGCGTATTTATATGCACTTTTAGGGATGCCTTACTTTGCTTTGCAGGCGATAACAACAGACACTCTTTCTCCTGGGGATATTTCCACCTCTCTCTCCTTTCTTGCGTCGTGAGGTAGGTCTGCGTCTGTCTGCATTGCACCATTTTCTCTCTTTACTTTCTTTGCATCTCCGACTTGTTCCTCTGAGGACTCTGGGAAATTTTTGTGAACAGGTTTCTGTCTCTGGTTGGGTGCCGTGCTGACGGTAACCACGGTAAACTGCTCTGCAGAGTCCCACCCAGCAAAGTCGCAGCACTTCAGTGTTTGAGACTCGGAGCCATTATTTCTGTTGCGGAAAAGAGAGACGGAGATGAACTATCATTCACTCCGTCTTCCAATTGCTGATATTTACACCAAAAAAGCAAAACCAGCTCACTGTATCCACAGCACCAGCTCACATCTCTCCCCCAGCATCAGGTCCCCAAATTGTCCGTAGTCTGATACGTCGATCCCGCCTTTGTTTTCCAAGAGGTGATTCAACTCGGCCTCCAGGAGAGGCTCAGCAGCAAAATTCATACTGCCAACAGGAAAATAAAACACTAAGATCAGCAAGACGGAAAGAGGCTAATTTAAAAAAGTTAATTTGGTTATTTATCAGTCTTTTATGGCTGAAACAATTAATCAAGATCAACTGTGATCAATTGTTGCAATAATTGTCAGCTAATACATTACTCATCAACTTGCGTACATGTAAAAAAAAAGCCATTTGTTGAGAGAACGCTCTCAGAGCAGCAATTAAACTAAAACTGTAGAAAAACACATACGTTCTGCATTTAAGATAAAATAAAATAAAAACTCAATGTACATAGTTTTAGCTTCACCTGGTTCAAATTCTATATGTATCACCTTTTGCCAGATTACTAATTGGTTAATCAAAAAATAAATCAACAGATCGGCTTTACACTGTATCAATGTTAAATCAAGCAGCATCCTTTGCTACAAATGATCAGGCATTCACTAAAGCAATGCATGATGGGAAATAAAATGTTTTTTTTCTTATTAAAAAAAAGAAATTCAATTGTTTTTTTCATATTTTAATGTATTTGTAATATCACATAAGAGGCTTAAATGAAAAATCTGTAAAATGTGACCATTTTTAAAAATCTTATTAGCCAATCTGATATAGATCAAACAACCTGGTCTATATTTTGAGCGGTACCTCTGACGGCAGGGCGCAATGCAGAGGGCTCTCCAGGAGTAGAAGGACTGACAGCTCTCCACCATCACCAAGTTGACCAGATCCCCTGGTGAAGGCTTGTATTCGGCTGGCAGGAGCAGAGAGTCCAAGCTAAAGAAAACACTGTCCTCCACCACGCCGCTGTTCCCATACACACTAGTCACTCGCACCTGGAAACAGAGAGCCGCTCAGATGAGGTCACAAAACTCAACTAAAGGAAATGATCCAGGTTCAACACCACAGATTTATTTGGCTTGATTCATTTCTAGTAATGAATATATTATAAAAATAAAAATGATAAGCACCTGGTTTAGGCGACTATAGCGTAATGGAGCCACAGAATGAGCTTGGGTGGTCCACTGGGTGGGGTTGATGTAAAACTTAGCTTGAATCCAGTCACCTTTCATTGGTTCATAACCTGTCAGAGAGAAAAGCAGCTCACAAAGCAAATCCCTCTATATAAACACACTAAGCATAACAAGGTTTTATCAGATTTGGAAATATTCTATGTTTTTAATCAATGACATCACCAGTTACTTGAGCTGGATAATATGGCTTAAAAATACAATCTCAGATTTGTTTTTTTACCTTTTTTTTTTGCCCCGTCTTTTCTTAAAAAGGACTGCACCGTGCAAAATACACCTTTTAGCACTCAAATACATTTTGTTGTGTGATCTTGAGTATTATGGATTGCAGAGACATTTAATTTAGTGCATTTAAAATGAATTGTAGAAAAAAAATAAAGAACTTAAGCTCAGAGAACATAGTCTATTATACAATACATTTTTGTTTAATTTTATGCTGTGACAAAATGGGAGAAAGTACAAGTAGAATGAAAGGTTCTGCTCAGTAAACAACCTTGGTAACTCAATTTAACTTGTGCAGTGCAAGCAAGATACAAGGGCTGTGAAGTTCAAAGTCTTATTAAATTAAAAGTTTATCTCGCTACCTTCTGAAAGGCTGTAGCGTGTGAAGTATGTGGTCTGATTGATGTAGCCACTATCGCCATCAAAGGACGTCACGGTTCCTATGAGGGGGCGCAGCTGCATGCTGTCTGCTTCTAAGGAAGTCCTCCCTCCGTCTTCCCAGGCATCTGCACTTTTCTCCACCTGAGTAAGAGAATGCTGAATTTTGCAAGCCTGACAAACCAAAACCTCATTGCAAACTTGATCTGTAATTTCCGAAAGGAGCCAATGGCCAACCAGCAAGAAGAGACAGATTCAGATTATATGATGGATGAGGGGGTCCTCACCCTCAGAGCTTTCCATCCTTTCTCAGCACCATCTCTGATTGCGATGCAGTTCACCTGGTCTCCCTCTTTTAGTTGAATTCCGCCCAAAACCTCACTGCTTGTGAAGTATATGGCATCGTCTATCATCCCGTAGTCCAAACACAGCTGCGTCACCACGCTGCCCCGCAGATGGCGGATGTCCTCTGTGCCTGAGCAGAAAACCCACGCCAAAAATAAATAAATAAATAGAAAAACAAATAAATCCGACATGCTACTGTGCGAATGTGTCGCAGTCCACAGGAAGACTAACTGCGCTTACCAGGGCTTTCCGTGAAGATGTTGTCTCCACCTGCATCAGCTGTTCTCCAAATCGAAGAAACTAGCTTGGTTAGCACGCAGCGCACAGAAGTGAGCATGTCTGCGGGAAACGGGAGCAGCGTAGCTAGCTGTCCGAGCTACGAAAACAAATTCAACATTAAATAAGCTTCAGTATTGAGACAGTTTATTGAATTCACAATTTGTAGTGTATTTCGGTGTGAAGATAAGGGACAAATGAAAGTTACTAGAATAAGAAAATAAACTTTTCAGTGTACTCCAGAGACACAGTAGCTAATGTCGAGACAAAGCCAGCCTCGACATTAGCCACTGCATGAAACTAGATAAATATTGTAAAAATAATAATACATCTCCAGCGGAAGTAGTGAAAATATGAGCGCCTTACCGCGTTCCATACACGTTATTAGATATTACAGAACACTTCCAACGTTGTGGTCGAGATTTTTTGCAGATTTCGGCGGCAGGTGTACGTGAGTGACGAGCGCTGATGAGGGTGGGGTCATCAAACATGCGGCCACGTTACCACAAGGGGGCGCAAGAGCAACCAAGGTGACGATGAACGTGTGAAGAAAAAAAAAAGTGGGGCAGCATGCTCTCATTTTTAAAGAACTACCATTTTTTATTTATATTTGGTGTTTTTTCTTAATAGAAATAGAATACATTTTCTTATATGTGGTTTTATTTGTAGAAAGTTATGTAAAAAAACACATCTAAAAACTTGCCATTCTGTTCTGTAAATGTAATTCAATCATTAATGTAATGTGTATATAATATTATTTATCTAAATCTATTATCTATTTTTACCAAGTAATCTTGATTACAATATTTAAGTCATAACACTGACAGCTCCCCTCACTTGAATAGATCAGCTTCCATTGTATGTCAAAAAATGTTTGCTTCCACCACAAGAGGGCAGTGGTGGCACTCTTTGAGCAGAGAACAGAGTCCGTCTCTTCAACGCAGAGCAAATGAGGATAAGGGAAGGAAATAGATCAGATACTCATCTCATTCTGTTGCTATAAGTAGACACTCAACTAATATTGTTTATCAAAGACATATAACATGTAAAAAAAATAATCAGAAAAAGAAAAAAAAAGCAATTTTATGTAATAACCAGAGGAAATTGCTCACTATATGATGTTGATTAAGTCTCTTTTTCCTGTAATGGCTGAATTTCACAATATAGAAGGACACTCCAAAAGGCATGTGGTCTCTTGGAGAAAAAAAAAAATCTAAGTAAAGTTTAAAAAAAAAAATTATTGTAATGTTTTACATCTCCTCTAACAATTCCCTTAAAATAAATGGAACTTAAGCATTTGTCACAACTTTTTTTTAAAGTTGAGTAATCAATGATTTCATGTTTTATCGGAGCACAAATATCACATTACACAGAGGTTCATCTTCATTTCACCACTGATCGCTCGGGTTGATGAGAAGTCATGTTTATTTTGCACCAAGCAAAGTGAGAAAAATGGTACTGTATGAGAGAGCTAAAAAATTCTAGGAAGTAGCAGTCAAGAGTGGCATCTACCAAGGCTCATGTTGCCAAAACAACTGCTAGATGCTGCCTACATGCCAACTGGTTGTTTAGGAGGCATGCCAGGAAAAAGGGTTTTCTGTTCTACCATCCCAAATGTAAGCATGTGGAGTTTGATAAACTAACTGGACTTTGCAGGTCAGACTAAGCTTGAGCTGTTTCTTACAAAACACCGCTGGTAGGTTTGGTGTGGAAAAACAGGATGGGAATCTGGAAAAGCACCTCAGACCAACTCGGAAGTGTGGTAGAAGATCTGTTGCTGTAATTTGTAACAAAGCTCAGATACCTTCTAAACAAAAACAGAAACAAAATTCACATTAAGTTGGATCAAGTTACTTAAACACAGGTGTTGAAGACGATATGATGATTAGTTGTGTCTTTCTGTACTGTAAATGTAATACGGCTGATTGACAACTGCCGTTATGAAACACAGTTTAAATTAAATTACTGCAGCACTGACGGCGTTGAGTTGTCGTTTTCCAGACTTTCTCATGGCTCTTAATGTTTTTCTTTGAACCTTGCCTATTTTATCACATAATTTCTGTCCAGTTTCTGACAGTTTGGTAGCTTGATGTCTGTCACGTGCTAAAACTTTAGCTTCCTGACAAAGAAATACAAAATATGGTGTGAAACCTGTAATGCCGTAGACTGCTTTCTTTTCTTTGGCCCTGGAAACATTGTTTGGCCTGATTTATACCTCCCTGACAGCTGTATTGTCCACTCAACCGCAAAGCCTGTGTAACATAAATTTTACCATTTGTACATGTACACGGAGGTCTGCTTGGACTCTCTGAGGACATTTGCATTTGAGACTGTATGGACTCAGCTACAATAAGACTCCCATTCAAATGGGGGCACCAAATGCACAATACAGTTATGTCTTGTGCATTTGGCCCCGCCCACACAGAGACAGGATTGGTTATGTTGCAAAGTTTTTTTTTATTTATTTATTTTTTTTTATTGTTTAGGATTTACGTCCACATCGATATAGAAACAGTAGTGTTTGAAAAACCAGAGTGAGAAAATTTCAAAATGCCAGTTTCATGTTTCGGTATCTACACTCAGGCCGTGTCTTTTTTGAAACAACATTGGAGCTCCATCACGCTATCATAAATAACAAACCTGGCAGTTTCTGTGTTGTTTGGTATTATTGTGCCATTCTGAGGCGCCACTTGTGTGGATGCACACTTTATCTCGTTAACGGAAATCTACCATGCCCATACGCCTGTGGGCGGGGCCTTGTTACAAGATGTCCGATGAGGTTTGTTTGTTTGTAATTTTTACATAATTAAATACCATCCTCATTAGGTCTACGTCTGTATTAAAAATATTTGTTTTATTGTTCTGATGTTATCTTCCAAGAAAATAAAAATTAAGGGGGAAAAATGCCTATTTAATAGGAATTGTTCTGTGTGTAAAGTAATATTTCATTTAGTGATTTGAGATACTAAAATAAATTATGTTTTCAATCGTATTCCAATTTACTAAATATGACTGATATTGAATGTTACCGTGGCCAGTCAGATCATAGGTAGAAAAATAAAAACTAAACAGTGATGCTTTCTTTTTTAAAGGTGCAGTATGTAACTTATATATATATATATATATATATATATATATATATATATATATATATATATATATATATATATAAAGTTTTTATTTATTTATTTATTTTTACATATTTATTAAAACTGTCACCATATTGTGACAGTATGTCATGAGATAAGTCATCTGTAAAAAGTTCGATTTCCTCCACCTCCTCCCTGAGCTCTTATGCGGTCTGAAGAAAAGCACCAAAAACAGCCAATCAGAGCCAGGAGGAGGGCCTTAACGCTGTAAATCAACGTAAAGTACTCGCTGCTAAATGTTCTAATGGCAAAGAAACAACAAATCGTTACAGAAAAACCCGTCATCAGTGTCCGTGCTAACTAGCCTAGCATTCACAACAGGAAAAAGCTGTAGCAGTAGCAGAGAACAAGGGGGGAGGTAGGATGAGCAGCATCACAGGGGATTGTGATTGACAAGCGCTAAGACCCGCCTCCTGGCTCTGATTGGCTGTTTCTAGTTAGCCCTGGGAGAAAGCAGAGGAGTTGAAGTTTTCACAGACCGTCTGCCCCATACCGTACTGTCATGACATGGTGACACTTTTTGTAAAAGTTATATACTGCAGCTTTAAGAAAAGCAGCATTGTTCACCCCCTTTATTCTCTCCTAAAGTTTTCATATTAAGTTTGTGCCACTGCATTGGGAGATAAACGGGCAATTACTGTAGCCAACAACACTGTAATACCTGGCTACGCCCTGTGTGGTCATGTCAGAAGAGAGCAAGCAGCGTATGTGGGACAAGACCGCTGGAAGGAAAGGCAGGAGAGAGCAGGAGGAGGTCTGCCTAAAAACTCCGCCTCCGATCTCGGATCATCTCGCATTCCTTCTTCACGGCCCCTCACGCCGTGGATAGAGAGAGAAAGGGAAGGAGAAACACAAGAAGGGCACACGAAGAAGGAGAGGGGAAAAACAAGAAAGGGGCGCAGCGAAAACGACCATGGCAGTATCCACAGCGCGTCAGCGTGAGACAGAGTCCGAGCACAGCGCACTCCCACCGCCGCCGAGCAGAGCCCGGAGCATGCAGACGCACAATAGACAGCCCCTTGATGAATGAAGGGAGCTGTGTACCTGGGCCGTGGACACAATGAGGGTCATCTTCACCCAAAACGCCGGTTTCGTCGCAGCTTTTTCGCCTTTCTTGTGATGCTGGCAAAGTGTAGGACGACAGATGACGTGAACAACATAGAATTGACCACAATTAGATCGTGCCAGTTTATTTATGTTTTTTTTTTCTTTAGCATGCAGAGATACTACAGCCAGTATTTGTCAAAAACGAAAGCGTGGTCAGATTGCGACATGCAGCCTTGCTGTCGAAATCTGAACACAGAATAGTCTATGTTTTATTAGCTACATTGCTGGCATTATAATTTAATTTGTATGCCTATTAGTTATTATAGAGTGACCATTTTAGATCAGCGCGCCTCATTAGTAGTCGATTATAACGCGATTATAACATAAAATAGCTAAGAGAAGAAATGTTTGTTTACTTCGATCAAAGACAATCAGTAAATATTAGATTCCATATGTGATAATATCATTTGCTTTATGACTTGTAATTTATTTATTTATTATTACTATTATTAGGTCTTTTAAGTATTATCGTATTGATTAGTTTAAGTTAGTAGTTTAAATATATTTAACAGTTGAGAAGATTGTTTAAAACGCCTCCCTATAGTGAAATGGAGACCGCTTATTTATCACCCCACCGGGGTGCCGCCCGTCCCGAGTCCCTGAGAGGTCAAAGCGCAGCGGGCAAACCGGCGGCGGGTGTCCCCTCCCCTCCGACTCCACCTCCGGCCTCACCTGCCGGCGCCTCACCCGAGGAGACCCCGGCACAAGGCGACGGACGGCGGAACTCGGGCGTGAAGAAGCACCACCACAAGCACAACCTCAAACACCGCTACGAGCTCCTGGAGACGCTGGGAAGAGGCACCTACGGCAAAGTCAAGAAGGCCATTGAGCGGCACTCCGGCAGAGAGGTGAGCCCACTTAACAAGCCGCCCCTCAGCAGCTGTAAGTAACCTCTCACTGTGGGGTTTTTGTGCGCCCCAGTGTGCGTTTTAAACGCACACTGTCAAAAGTCTCTGCAAACGACACCGGTCTGGGAGGAAGTGCAGTGCTGCAGTCAGAGGCGTGTGCTTGTCCCCTTGCCACCCCGTCGGGAATTCCCCCTACGCTCAAAAATAAGACCCGTGGGGCCGGGAAGCTGTGCAGCACACGCCTCGTCCTGCGCGCGGCCTCCCGACCGGATGTTAGGGTTCAAATCCGGCTACTGACAGACTGATGCGACTGCTGGTGAAGATGCCCTCAATATGATACCTCAGAGGTCATTTTCCTTCGTTCCGACTTGGTTACGTCCAGCGCAGGGGCGTCG